TTAGCACATCGTTGATCTCAAAAAATTGCACAGATCGACTCAACCATGCATCTGGATCTACTCCCGTGAATGTGGGCATAGTCAACTTCGGCCGTGTGTAAGCCCGTTCCTCGCGGTGTTCGTCGCGGTGGTTTCGCCCTTCTCGGTGGTGGCGTCGATCGTCGGGGTGGTGGTCCGCTCGCCCATAGAACCGTTGCCGATCCTCATCGTAGCACCTGTCGTCGCACTCTCGGTCATCGTGGCGTGGTCGCCGTTCGTCGCGTGCTGCGCGCGATGCGTGTGATGCATACGTCGCGTGCGATCGCCGGTCCTCGTCCTCGTGGTCGGCCTCGGTCTTACTGGACGCCTTGGTCGACCACGTCTCGTAATTCCTCCTTGGCCGAGGGTTCATGCGTGTGAGCTGCCCGGCCAAGTCGTGGACCATCAACTCGATTTTGGCCAGATTTTCATTGGTCATATGTTGGCCTTCACCGATGGTCTTCAAACCTTCCTCCAATGCTTCAATCCTTTCACGGTTTGACATCATAACTCTCTCTTTTTTTTTAAAAAAACTCTAAAAAATAAAATCAAACAAACTAGATGACACTTTTTTTTTTATATACTAACTCGAAACTCTCGAAAAAAGAAGGAAAAAGAAGCAAAAATTCGAACAAAAAGAAGAGAATAATCGGCCCCCTCAGCAAAAGGCAAACCGAAAAAATAAAAAGATAAAATAGACAAGAACACGATTGGATTCTCTCAATGAAAGCACCAATGATGAGGTTATCGTGATTTTTTCTAATTGCTTGTGAATAATTGCACACTTAGGGCCTTCGACTAAACACGATAGGAGTGACTAATAGACGCTCTCAGGGCCTTCTCTTAGACACGGTTGTATGATAAACACACACTCAGGGCCCTGCTTAAACACACGATTTGAACATAACGTTCCCTCTTTTCTATTCAATCATTCAACATCGTCCCATAGCAATCTCCGACACACATCTTCCACCCATCTTCCGCCCTTCGCGCACCCATTCTCTTAACCTCTAACTTCCAAGCTCGATGCTTCCTCACACAAGCCTTGCACCAATCATTCACCTCCTTAGCCCTCGGCTTGTGCTGCCTCCTTGCTCGCTTGGCTCTGTGTCTTCTGGACCTCGGGCCACACTCTCTAGGCCAGTATTTTTCGATTTGTGGCTCCTCCAGCTCATGTTCGAGCCAACTTTCGAGGTCTTCGGCCATCCCGTCACTTGACTCACCGGGGTTGAAGACGACTTCCGTATCATGCACCTTCACGGCGTGGCAGGGAGTCACGGCGCGGCATTGTCATCCTTCACGGCTCGGCACTTCTCGCGGGCGTGGCAGTGGGCGTCCTGGACAGCAGGCTTCGCGGCGCGGTAGTAGGTGGCGTCGCGGCGTGGGGGCAGGCACGGCGCGGTGCAAGGACCTCTGGGAGTCTCTGGCCGTGTCGTGGCAGCGACGCGGCGCGGCACGGGCGCTTGGAGCTGACGGGAGCGACGCGACACCTGGGAGCCTCGTGGTCTGTGTCGCACGACTTTACATTTTAAGCTCGTACACACTCGTCCGACCTCTGAATTTGGTTCCGTTTTCTCCCGTGTACTCCCAACAACATGCTCTTTTTAACCATGCTCACCCGGTCCATTTATCATAAAAATTAAATCTTCCCGAGTCTTTTACCCTGCACACCAACGACAAGGAAAAACTGGGAAAGGATCGAAAAACAAACGAAAACACCTACATGACTCCAAATATAGAGAAACACGGAACAAAACACAAAACGAACTAAAGACAAACGAAAAGACTCAAAATGGAGAAAAAAGAAAGGGAAAATAACAACGAAAAACGCAACAAAAATGGGACAAACAGGATGCCAGAAGGTTCATCGATTTACTGCCAATCTTCAGAACTTACAAGTTGGATATGTGGTGGTGGTCAAAGCTTAAAGGTATTTTGAGAATATATCATGTAGTATATTTGAGCATGTTTGCATTAATTGTTTATGGTTGGGAATTCGAACTAATATTTGCTTCTGCATTTCAAACTGGTATTTCAGATTTAAGACTTTTAAACTACGCATGAATTACCGGTCCAGAGTCCGAAAGACAATAAGAGTACAGTTAGATGCATGTATGCCTAGAGTCTCTAAAGAGATAAATATTAAAGTTGAGTAGCATCTCGCATATTAAAGTGAAAGTATTTTCGAAAAAAAAAAAGTTAATAAGAGTTTTCAAAAATTAAATCAGTGTTTTCCATATATAACACGAAAAATTTACTCGGATTTTAGTAATAGTAGGCAGGGTGTTACACATACGCTAAAGAATGATATCACAGGCACAATTTCTACATGACATTCATTAATGTGCACGTTTTTCGCTCGCTATTGTGCAGTGGGAAAGGACCGATCTTCCGTCCCAACTAAATTGAAATCGAACACTAACGTGCATTTTAATTTAAAAAAAAAATTGATAGTATTTTAATTAAAATTAATGTACATTTATCAAATTATTTGTGTAATAAAAATATATTTAGTATTTCTACATTTTGTTTTAAATACTTAATATTTTATTAATTTAATTAATATTTATCGTGCATTTGTTATACAAAAGTGCAATGTTACTGATACAAAAGTGCAACCCGTCAGTCAATAATGTGGAATTATGTCCAATAATATTTTTATCTATCTTTTTATTTATTAATTTATGTATTTAAAAGATATAAAAATAGTATACTTGTATATACTTTTTAAAAATTACATATTTGACCCGTGGGCTAAATTAAAATATACATAAAATTATTAAATTTACAGCTAAGTCCCTAAACATAATATTTTTCTCAAAACAAATCCTCCCATCACTCCATCACTCTCGCTGGCTGTCACACCACCATCACTCCCGTCGGCAAGGGCGCTAGCTTCCGGCGGAGGTGGACCATCCGACGAGGGCGTCGTTCAAAGCTTCCCGTTTAGGTCGCCTGCTGAACGTGTTCGGCGACTGCAGTGAAGCCGGGGGGAGTCGTCTCAGTTACCTCCTCCAATATCTCCGCCGTACGCCTCCCCAACAACTCTGTCGTCTCATTCACCTTCTCCAACGTCTTCGTGACGCACGGGCTCCAGTTGGCATCTCCATGGCCGGCCTCGTCTTCAACAACCTCATCACCTGTCTCGATTCTGGTGACGATTCGGAGGTCGAGGGAGATGGCTGGGGACGGATTCAACGGGCGAGGTGATGTGTTTGTCTTCTCCGGTGGATCCTGAATAAGACAACCTCCACGTGTGCAGTCCAAAGGTCGCCGAAAACCATCATGGGAGAGTCGGTGGTCTGCGGCGCTGTGGGTAAGAGCCGGGTTGGAGGTTTGCCGAATCCGACATGGAGGTCGGGCGCTTCGGCGGGGAGGTTGGACGGTTTCACCTTACTATACGTGTGTGTATATATATGTGTGTGTAAATTAATTTGTGTTGTGCGTGTATGATATTTTTTTTTTTTGGTACAATGAAAGAAGGCTAGAGCCTTAGGAGTTTAAACAAGAACACGACGGGGGTAAGAGACCCCGCAAGATCATGCTGAAGCCACGTCCCTAGGCCAGATGGAGGAGATGAAAGCCGGTGTAGCCCAACCGATGAAGAAGTCGCTAATCCCGTCAAATGGTCGGCCGCAAAATTAGCTTCCCTAAGAACATGTTGGATCTTAATGGTCCATTCTCGATCGGAAAAGCATTGAACATGTTGTATTTGTATGTGTATGTGACGTGTGTGTGTGTGCATATGCGCGTGTTAGGTGTGTGGGTATGTGTTGAGTGTGTAAATGGTGGTGACGTGGCGGAGAAAGAAGGGAAAAAAGAGATTAGTTTTGTTTGGTGACGATGGCGGCTAGTAGTGGTTTGACATAGGTTCTCACTGTTTGTGTGTAGACAATTACTATATTAACTTTAATGAAAATATTTTAATTTTTTTAACCATTAATCATTCAATCTAAAGGCTACGATGCATTTTTGTTTTTTCACTAAACACATTTCTCATTTGAACATAACCCTCTCTATAAATAGATGTTTAAAAATATATATTGCTATTAGAAATGTTAATTTGTTAATTTTTATTTTCAACAAGAGAATTTTCATGAACTTCAACAAGGCATACAAACAGGGGAGGATTGAATAATAAAAGCAGATATGGGCCTTGTTTGTTTTTTGGCTTTTTGGCCAAAACGCTAAAATAGCGGTTTTGACTAAAATCAAAAAAGCTAATATTGATTGTTTTGTTGTTTGGTAATACAGCTTCTCAAAATAGCTTATGGGCTGAAAACGCCAATATTGCAAACGCTATGATTTGCAGCGTTTGTGATGAGCGTTTTGTACCTTTTTCTTTTCTTTTACACTTTTTGCTTTTGTTTTGCTAATTTAGCATATTCCTAGGCCACTATTTACGCTTTATTTATTTATTTTTTTTTTTCATTTCATCATGTTTTAAATTGTACATAATAATAAATTTTAATTGTGTTGCTTTATTGCTTTTTTTTTAATAAGTATGACGTGAACTTATTACTCAATTAAAAAATTTATTTTATTATTATTTATATTATATTTAAAATCACTTTAGTAAATATTTAAATATTAATTATTTTTATTTTAAACCGCTAACACAATCAACTAATTTTATCAAACATTTTTTTTACAAACCGTTAACACAATCAGCTAGTCAAAACAACTAATGCAATCCGCTGGTCAAAGCAGCTAATGCAATCTGCTAACAGCTAACAGCTAACCGCTAATTACCAAACAAGGCCATGATGAAATATATACTACGCACATTCGCTCTTGTCGTCATCATTTTATCTGGAGTGCTCATCATTTTATGCTAAGCCAAATAGTGTTTGCGAATTCAAAAAGGGGGACAGACAGTGTCAAGAGTCTCAATCATGTCTATCTGAAGAGCAGCAAAACCCTAGATCCCAATTTTCTTTACCATTTTTTTTTTTTTCCTAAGCTGATCGAGGATTGGAAACATGGTGGTCTCTACACCTCAATCTGAATCTCAGTCTCAGCCTATTTCTGCCGAAGAAGAAGCGGTTAAGAGAAACACCGATTGCATTTATTTTCTGGCTTCTCCTTTAACCTGCAAAAAGGTTCCTTAGTTTTCCCATCTTCTATTTCCCCATTTTATCGCTCTTTGGAAGTGGACATATGTTTTGTGTTTGTGGGTCTGTTTGTCGTTTTCAGTTATATATATGTTTCCAATATTTAACTTATGAATTGCATGTTTGTTGTGATTATCTGCTGCAAAAATCGTTTAAGGCAGAGTTTTCTCTCTTTCTGTGAACGCTTTTGGAGTACACGCTAAGATCCAGGGTATTGCTTTCTTTTCTTGATAAGCATGCATATTCCTGGCAATTAATTGGTGCTTAAATCCTGATCCTACTGTATTTCAAGATTCTGTGTTTGGCTATTGCAAGATTTGGATTTCCCCTGGAAAAGCCTATCGACTCTAGGATTATGGAGTATATTGGGATTTATGTTGCAACTTGCTTACCTGAATTAACTGTGCAGACGGTGAAAGGGAAGGATAGTGGCAATCCGGTAAAGGCCTTTTATGAAGGCTATATTGTATGGCTGAATAGTGAAATAAATAATCAATTTAGTTGACTTTGAAGATGCTAATTTTGTTGATAAATATTTTGCAATATGACATTATGCCTTGTAAATTGTTCTACATGGATATCACTCTTGATCTCAGTGTCATTACATGATTGTGTAAGCTTCTATGACATGTTACTATGTTAGAGCTTTTCTTGCTTTAGCTGCTTGTGATTTTCTCCTTGTCATAATGTTATTGTTGGGGAGATCTCTTGTTGACATATGATTTCAAGCACACCTTTGTCCTGATTGTCTTTCATTTTTTTATGCTCAATTTGTTCATAAGTTTTCTATTTGAACTGGTGTTATCATTTGAAGTGAGAAATTTGGTTTATTCAATGACTAATCGCGTATATTGTTGTTGTAGCATATTTAATGTGGAATCCTACTTTAGGTTGAATATTTCTACTGAATCCTACTTTAAGTTGAATAGCGATGTTTTAAATGTGGTTGTGGCCATCCGAATCACGAGTGATAAATTTCATGGTGTTTAATGCTTCATGGAAACACATTACATTTTCAGGAACATTGCTTGGCACCATATCTTGCCGATTCATGACATCTTATTTCTCTGTGAAATTTACGTTTTTGGGTTTTTTTTCAATAGGGAAATGAGTGTGAGTATCGCCATAGTGACGTCGCACGGGTAAATCCGAGGGACTGTTATTTCTGGTTGCATGGTAACTGTCTAAACCCAAAATGTGGTTTTCGACATCTGGTTAGTTTTTTTACTTTCTTTGACTTGCACTTATTTGTTTAGTGACAGTTTGCATTCTTATTGGACAGTATCTTTTATAATTTGCTTTCCTTTTATTCATAAAATCTCTCTTATTATTATTATTATTGCCTAATTCTTTAGCCACTCGATGGGCTGCTGGGAACACAAGGTCCTACGTCCATTGGGTCCTCTGCACCCGTATTCCAAACTGTAGTGGCCTCTGTCCCACATGTCTCAAATGCCTCCGCCAAACCAGGCGTGACTTGCATATTTTTCCAAAAAGGATACTGTGTAAAAGGTGACTGGTGTCCGTTTCTGCACATGCCAAATTCTTCAAGTAACAAACCCTTGCTGGTCCCAGTTACAGCTCCTCCTGCTGACAAGAATGTTTTAAGCGGACCACCTGATAAGCCAGTAACTGAGCCACCTGCAAATGTCACTAAATCTGCCAACGATCCTGCAGTGGCAAACTCGTCTCTCCATAGAAATGAATCCGCCATTAGCATGAGAGCAGCCACACAAACTTCTGGTGTGACTGATGTGGACATGTACAGCAACTCTGCTCCTGTTTCTAATGGACACCCACACCCACTCAACACAAACAGTAAGGACAACGATGATATTTCAAGGGAACCCTCTCCCGGTTTCGACGTCCTTGTGGATGACGATTTGAGAAACTCCGACTACTGCCCGGGTGACGATAGATTTGGGCTGTCCAGAAGCCGTGATGCCCGAAATGAGTATGATACTGGGCTCTTGAATGAAGAAATGCATCTGGGCCGTCCCGTTAGCTACGACTCTTATGACCACCCAAGGCCAAGGGGGCGATATGGTTATGAGCGGAGGTCGAGAGGGCATCACGTCGAATACGAGAGGCATGATGCCACTGACCGAGTTGATGAGCTGGACCTAAGACACCGTCTGGCCAAGCATAAGAAGAAACCTAATGGGCTTAAGTCTGTCATCAGCAATGAAAATGCTCAGCGGGAAATTACGATCAGCAGCCGCCTTATAGGGAGAATTGGTCTTCCTAAGAGGTCACCATCTCCTATCAACAGGCACCGTGGTAGGCTGTTTATCCGTGGAAGGTCAGACGAAGGTTTTAACAATGGTTCATACGCTGCGGCTGAAGATAGCTTCTATTTTGCTGGCCCGATAAGTTTTTCGGAATTGAAAAACAGGAAGAATGTCGAAATCAGTAAGAAGAGCATAACCGATCAACAGTCGCTCAGCAAGAGAAAACGCACGCACCAGAAAATTGAGAACGACTTGTCATTCGAAGGGCCCAAGCCCCTGGAGGAGATTCTCAAGCGCAAGAGGGGTGGGACGAGTAAGGATGAGCCGAATGGCCAGGGTCTTGAGAAGGGCGAAATTCAACAAGAGATAAAGGATGTGGCTGCCAGTAATGAGATTTACAAATCCACCGCGACAGCTCCGAAGGGAGAGGCCGAAGATGTCTCTAAAGCTGAAGAAGATGGTGCGCTTGATGGTGTGGATCAACAACTTCAAGAAGAGGGGTATGAGCCGAGGGAGGGGGAGTGGGATTACGAGCAAGCGGGGGGTGAGGATTATGACATGTATGAAGGAGATAACAGGGACTATGTGGATGAGGAGGACGATGATGATTTTGCAAAGAAGATGGGAGTTGTGTGCTCTTGAAGGGTGAAAAAACCTTTTTGTGTCCTGCTGAATTTTTATGGGTATATCTTCTTGGTTATCTAGGACTTTGCCGCGTATTTGTTCTTTGTTATCTAAGATTTGTTGAATTCTTGATTTGGGTATTAATTTCGCAGTGTACTATTGTCAGGAAAATAGAGATGATTCGGGTAGTGGCCTTGTGTGTACCATTTTAGAAATGTGTTTGATCTCCTTGACCTTGCTGGGGAATTCCTTGCTTTGCTCTGTTTGTAGTTTCCTTGTACTTTGTCAACTTTATTTACCTGAGCTGAGGATATTACGATTATAACATCAGAAAGTTGAATAGTACCTTGCATCTTCTTTCCCTCGCTCGAATGGTTTAGGACTTCAGGGGATTACTTTTCTTTATGTTCTCTTAACACATCTTTATCAATAACCTAATCCAACTTAACAATTAAAGAATAATTTCTCTTCTACCCATAGTTTTAAACCCAGCTCGAAAATCGACGCGGGCAGGTCTTCGGATCATCGGTTCAACCACTGGGTCACCGGGTCAATTGTTGAACTTGATTAATTTTGAATTTTTTAAACTTATATATATATATATATATATATATAGTATTTTTGACATATAAATATACATAAATGTAACAAAAATAAATATTTTGTATAAAAAATTTGTACATATAAGTGTTAATAATACTGAATCTCACAATAAATATTTACTATGTCATTATATAAACATAGTTTTTATTTTTTATATAAAAAAAAAATTGAAAATTTATAGAGACCGGGTCAACTGGGTTGACCCGGCCGGGTCAATGACCCGGGTCGACCGAGTCAAGGCCGGTTGGCCGGGTTTGACCGGGTCCATTGTTACCCGGCCCAAATAGCCCACCCGAACCGGTTTCGGCTCCGGGTCGATTGGATCCCGGGTCGACCCGCGGGTTCCGGGTCACAAAACAATGCTTCTACCAATACATCCCTTACTATGAGTTATGATATATATTACACTTATACACCAACTATAATCTTATTTATAAAATTACTAAAACAAGCTTAAATATTTACACATATACCTATGATTTTGATTTCCATGTAACTGTTATTATAGAAATTCTATGGAGTTATCGAATGGTTTTCTTATGGAGTCATCCATCACTTAATGTATTGACACCTGTCCAAAGTGTATTTATTACAGGACACGTGTCAATACATCATTTGTGAATAACTATGGATGGCTCCATAAGCCAAGCCAGCCGATGGCTCCATAACAAAATTGACCGTTACTAAGCAATTATCGAGGCAAATTAAATGTAATCTATCATTATATAAAAAGAATAACCTTTTTACAACTTTAGAAACAATTTCCTGCCAAAATCATTAATTACATACTAAAAATAGCATAATTAAAAAAGTTTTAACTAAATGCCCATAATTATCTCAATACAACACCTTTTTAATTTTTGGAAAGAATCCCTATTTATATGGATTCCTTCAATTATTTTTTGTATATAAAAAAAAAACCGAGATGGGCTATTTGATTTCCAAAAAAAAAAAAATAATAGCAATAATTTGCAATTATTAGTAAATATTCAGTGCGAATAATTTATATGCATACGTAATTTTTTAATTAAGTTAATGTGAAATCAATAGTTAATCTAAATCTATTGATTAAAATTTTTAAAATTTTTCAATCAATTACTTTATTTCTTCCTAATTTATTTTTATTTTTATTGATATGCTACCATAAGATTTGAAGAAACATTGGTTAATAAAGTTAAAAATTTGTAATTTAATTCTAGAAAATTAGTTGATAAATTTGAATGATAAGATAACCGACAACAACTCTAGAAATTTACGAGTTTATATATATAATATATTTATATATCAAATACATAAGAAAATTTAGTGTGTAGTCCAAATTTGAGTTCCAAATTCATAAGTCAAATAAGTAATTATTTATAACTTACGAATCAACATTAATAAGTAATTATTTATAACTTACGAATCAACATTAATTTTGACGACGTAAATGAAATAGTCAATTATTCATAGTTTAATTAATTACTCAACCACTTCAATTTTTTTATTTGAATATTTTATATAAAAACAAAATCATCTAATTAATGAAACAATATAAGATTTGTAGTTATAGTTATTATTCACATATATTTTTAAATAGATGAGAAATTTACTCGAATGGCTATGCTTGAAGTGGATCAAACTGGTTCTTTTTTCACTTGGGGCAATAATAGGAAGAATGAGGGATATGTGGAGGAGAGATTAGACAAGATGTATGTTTCTCTTGATTGGCAGGTGACTTTCCCATCGATGCAAGTGTCTAACTTTTTCAGGAGCGCCTCAGATCATAATGTCTTGCTGATCAACACTGGAGGT